CCTGATAGAAGAGAAAGTCTTGCTGTTACTCAGGTGAGGAAAAGGGCTTTATGAAACTCCTTCTATGCACCTCAGGGCTATTCCACCAACTGGGGGTGCAGGAGGAGCATGGAATCTATATACAAAACTCTGAACTGCAGTCAGAGAGGGCATAAGACTGAAAGAGAAAGCTAAATGCAAGAAGAGCTTTAAATAACAAAGTAAAACTTTCAGCTTTTACATAGTACATGGTCCCACTCTATTATTTCTGTTTTTCTTAACATTTATTATTTTTATTTATAACTTAATTCAAAATTTGAATATTTGTAGATTATTTTTGTGCATCTCAGAGGAAAAAAAAAGGGGAAAGCCTACTGAATAAACATTTGGACATACCCAGTTGTTCTAGATTGGTAATCTCAATATCTTAAATCTGAAATACCTTTCAGTATCTATTTAATATTCAGAGGCTCACCACATTACTAGAAGAATAAACAAATTCAATAGGATTTCTTTTCTGAATTAACCCTTCAGAAATCTTACATATGAATAATAATGAAACAGTGATCAAAATTATTTTCCTTGTCCAGAAATGTAAATTTGAACCATAATTTTATGTGGTGCTAATAATGTAAAGACCCTCCATTCAGGCTTCTATTTCAAGTACATATCTTATTCTAAGCATTTCCCTGAAAGAATAAAGAAATGCAACTGTAATTACAATTTCCTATAATTTACAAGATCTCACTTGCAGCAGTAGCATAACAACCTTCCAAACCTTTCCAAGATATGGAGTATTTGCTTTGTTAAGGACACAAGCCTTAAAATTACGAGGGCAAGTTTTAAGAGACTGCATCTAGCAATACACCAGTGTGAAGCAAACAATCTGAAGCAATTGGTGTTATCATGGTAGAAAGTAAATATTATTATAAGTACAACCATAGCAACCACAAAACTCTACCTCCCTAAAGTGATCCATAATGTTTGACTTGAGAAGCTGATTTAGAGGTCTGAGGAAGTATCACTAACCATCATTTACCTTGGCCATAAATACCCAGGAAGACAAATATATAGTCTTTCTGGGCCATCGCTGTACAGAAAAGAAACACTCAAAAGAAGTCTCTGGAAATGGCTGTACTCTCTTCTTTTCAAACTACAAATCCTTCTGGGGGATGGGTGTTACACTATAGAAATTAGTATCAACTATCTTCTATAGGACATATTTTTACATATTTTTACTTAAGTGTCAAGCCAGGTGATGGACATCCAAACTGAAGACTTTATGTAACATTGCTAATGTCTTATATACTAGTTTTCACCAACAGATCTCAGTGTGCCTTACAAAGATTTGTATCCACATTCCATGAATAGATACGGCATTCAGAGATGTTAGATGCAGGTAAATTCATTCTCAGTAGTCACTGGCCAGCTAGGGCCAGCGAATCCAGTTCTCCAGAGCCAGAATTCCCTGCCCTGTTCAGCAAGCATCATTACTTCAGTAATAATTTTTGATAAGCCAGTTCCCAAATGGCTCTCTCAGAAACACAGTGGCATTTTCTATTTTCCTCTTTGCACTGAAATAAACTAACCCCAGCTCTTCTCCAGTGAGTGGCAAGAAACCTTGTATGCTCTCTTGTCACAGAGGCAGATGTAGAAGGCAAAGGAAATCTGTCAGCACCAGCTAATTCAGCCTACACTTCAGGCTGCGTTCCTGGTTCATTCATACTAGATGTGTGCAATGCAAGGCCAAATGCATTACAAAATTATACTGAACCGTGTTTGGGTACATGACTCTATTATTGCTCAATATGCACAGTCAATCTCATCCTAGATTTATGCTGGCTTAAAGCAGCTATACAAAGAAGAGATAATACCTGATCCACCATAAAACCTGTCTTTATAAAGGTGACTCATTTAGAACAAATTGGAAACAGCAGACTGAGTTAATGACAGACCAGTGTTTTGCAGCACTGCAAAAAATCTCTTAGTAGAAGCAGTTAAACTGAATTTACTGTGTCATTAAACCACAATACACGTAGAAATCCATGTGGCAGTTAATTCATCTTCACAGCACCCAAACTAGAGAAGTAAGAGCAAAACCTGATCTAGATCCTTCATTTAAGGGGCTGTAAGATTTAATAATGTGCTTTTCCATTGTCTTTGGTGAAAAAGAATAACACAGATTTGCCCTTTGCCTATACAGAGAAGAGAGCTCCAGTTTCAGAGCCAGGGGTGACAGGCTGTGCTCTTCTTGCTCATACATGTTATTGACTGACAGCAGCAATAATCAAATATTTATGCAGCCCCACAGTGCAAACTCTCAGAACATTTAACACTGTTGTTTAACACCCCTAGCTTAGCTTTAACATGAAGGAGGGGGGATGGACGGACGGACGATGGGGGGAACGACAAGGGACGACGGGACGGGACACAGGGTCTGGCAGATGAGCAGCTACATCAATAACAGATATTACTAAACCCAGCCCTCTTCCCTGTCCGTCTTGTGGGTTTCTCCAGAGCAGGGGCAGCAGAAGTGAACTTACGCTCTTAGCACAAAATGATCCGCTAGACTCCAAACTCGTGAGGCTGAAATTCAGACACGCACATGAGTCTGTCCTATTTGCAGGTTTGTAGATCCTTAGCTCTGATCATGCTCTTAGATCCTTAGCTCTTAGATCATGCTCTGAGCTGGGGGATCAGTACTGAGGGTCAGAAATAACTCAAAGAGCCAATCTGTGCAGTCAGGCCTCAGCTTTTATATATATATCTGTAGGATGACCAGAACAGTCAGGAACTGACTGATTTAGAGTACAAAAAGCCATTACAGCTGAATAGGCGCAGCCAATTTTGAAACAGAGATCCTGTGTAAAGCTAGTAATGCTCTCTCCCTTAAAGCCCATTTTCTCTCAGAATAAAAAGACCATACACAACTGGTGGAAGAGGCTTGACCAAACCCAGTACCAAACATCTATATGCACACACACATACATAGATACTCACTGGACTTTAATAACAGCTGTTATTTCAGTTAATTCCACATCAATATATTCGCTAATACATTTTTCTTTCCCTTTAATTTCACAGAACAACAGCTGTTCTACTTGCTTTAAAAAAATAAGTGAAGAACCAGAAGTATTTCCTCAAAGGCAGTATCTAGCAATACTCTGCTTCTGTAGGGCCTTCCTTATTGCTTTCAACCTAGAATTAAAACCATTCTCCATTCTCTCAAATACATCATCAAAACCCAGTATAAGTTCATCTACATTAGAGACTTCTGTTAGCTCCTTGGAGTTTGCCAGAAACTACACATCTTCACACTGTTGATCAATAAAAATACATATGTGGAAGCCTGTAATGAAGACACAACTCTACACTAGCCTGCGAAGTTAGGTAGTGCTAAAGTTCTTTCTGAAGCTGGTAAACATGTTCTCAAGTGCTTACGAAACTTAAACCAAAGCTTGCTCTAAATGTCGATATTAACAAACTCAACATCAGTGGACTCAAACCTTTAAAAAATGGTGGCTGAATAATAGTTTTATAATTATTCCAGGAGTCAGAAATGGCTGATAGAAAGTCCCCCTAAACCCCATCATCACTCTGTTTAGAGAAGTAAACTATACATACATCACCATCACCACCTGTCAACACAAAAACAAAAGCACGCTTCCAACAAAGAGTAAGCAAGAGCGTGTCTATGCCCTATGGCCATGTAGCTCAATGTAGTTGCAGCCTATGGAATATTAGCAGGTTGGCTGAATATTCCACATTCCAGCAGGGCCTGAGAAAAGCCCTGAGTACCTCTAGTTCATAAATGAAGACTTTTTACCCGCAGATCTACCAAAACCCTTACAGTGCCTGAACTGAAATGAGCCTACAATCACCTACCTGCTAAATATCACCAGAATTCTCAACCATGCTGGCATACAAGTTACCTTGTATCAGGCTCTGACTTCACACTCACCACTACTGTCCTGCACAGTGACTGGCATCTCAATGTGCATCCTCTCTCTCATGGCACTGTTCCTGCCTTAGGTCCTACACTGTACTTCAGCCTGAAGCTTCACATAGTTATTTTAACTTTGAAGTCAGCAAAACCAATAGTCATTCCGCTGCTCTGGTGAAGCACAATGTTTTCAAGCCTTGAAAATGAATCTGGTCAGATAAGTTAATCCTTCCAACATCATCAAAGCAAAATCACACTGGAAGCTCAAAAAATTAGTGGGGGCAACCAGCCCTTTGACTTCCTTAACTACTAATCATGTAGATAAGCAAACTTGAAAGAAACACTGACTTTCAGTGGAGATGCTGAGTATCTACTGCTTAACACGGTAAGAGTAGGCAGGCTTTAAGTAGAAGTAAGACTCTTCTACAACTAGGGTTGTGTTGTTAGTGCGAACAGTACTAAAACAAAGGACTAAGCCCCATACTCCCTGGCCCTCTGTACATTCATTTACACATTATAAAGTACCTCCAAAAGTAACACCACCAAAAGGTGCTAGTTCAAAATCCACTCTGCACAGCTATATCTAATCACCAAGGGCATAAGAAAATGTTTTTTACTGACCCACAGAATGAAGATAAGTTACCCAATTAACTTTTAAGTAATGGTTACCTGTGCGCTATGAAGTACAGAATGTATAAAACCAATGTAGTCAAAGAAAAGCCTCCAAAAAAACAGTTCCTGGCCTGCCAAAACGTATTTTTCCACTATGAGAGGTAATGATACCGCAAGCACTGCGGGAGACTATAAAGACAGTATGTACCCTGTGTTACTTTTGCATGTGTCAATACTTTTGGGGCAGGAGCAATGTGTGTATCCATCCCCCCTCCCCCCCCCCCCCATGGAGCCGCCCTTGTTTCCTCACCATCCCTTCCCTTCGGACCCACAGAAGCCGTTTCAGGTGATGAACCGAGGGGCAATATCCCAACCTCCAACCCACAGCGAGGACCCCAAGGCCTGCCCCTCTGCGCACCCCCCGCCCCGGCTCCTCTGCGGCCGGCGGCCGCCCGGGGCCACTCACGATCTCGGTCACCATGAAGAGCCCGGGAAGCGTCCGCAGGAACTCCCTGTCGTAGGCAAGGGTGCTTGAGCTGGCCGACAGGTTGGCGGTGAAGGAGCTGCTGGTGGTGGTGACCGTGTGGGACCGAGGGCGCGGCGGCTGCTCCTGAGGCTGCGGCACCGGCGGCTCCATGGTCGGCGCCGCGGGGCTGCCCCCGGCCAGCGCCGAGACTGGCGGCGGGGCGGAGGCGAGGCCGGCTGCCTCCTCACGGGCGGCGGGAAAGGGCCCGCCGCCACCCCCGCTTTGTGTGCCCCCAGCGCCGTGAGCAGCCCCTCACCTCAGCCCGGCGGGCACTGTGCTCTGCGCCCGACCCCAGGCAGAGGGGCGGGCCTGGCGGGAGGCCACCCGCCCGGGAGCCAGCCCAGCCAGTCCGGAGCTGCCCTTCGGCGGGAGCAGGGCGGACAGCTCATGGGGCTGGGGGGATCGGCCGCCGTGAGGGATCTTGGCCCTGGATTGCTTAGCGCCAGGGAAGGGCCATCTGAGGGAGCCACCATCCCCTCACCTCCCGGCTTTTATACACACGGAGGCCTTGGGACCAGTGCGGCTGAGGGCCAAGTTGAGCGAGACCTCCTCTGGAAAAACACCCAAGGGAAACCGTGCCACAGCCTCATGGGTGAGCATGGTTTGGGGTCCAGGCGCAGCTGCCTGCCATCATTGCCCATCTAGACTGTTGCCCACGCTTTGGGTTGTTGTTCCCACTGGCTGCCATTACTCCTCAGTGGGAAGGTGTTGGAAGAGGAGCCACCATGAAGTGCAGCAGGAAGAGAGCAAGAGGCTTAGGAGGTACCACAGCCTCCTGAGAGCTGGAAATGAGGATTTAGCTGGCATTTGCCAAACAACCAGGGGTCTCCGTGATGAAAAGACTTTTTATAAAGCCATTAATGTCACTGGAAATGGAAAGTATGAGGTCATTATTGGCCTACCACTTGACAGCTTCAAGCAGTTCCCTCACCTGTATTTTCTAGTACTTTTCCAGTCTAAAGTGTCATGTTTAAAAAAAAAATAAATAAATAATTTCCAGGTAATTTAAAAGCTGCTAAAGTGATCTTCCATTCCACAGAAAGTACGGTGCTTCAACAACAAGAGGTAGGTTTTTTTCAGCGTGTAGGAATTCTCATTGGCAAACTATTTGCATGTGTCAGCTCAGTGAAAATGAAGTGTTTTCCATATGCCTGGTGGCTATTGTCCTCGAATTGTTTACTGCTGCTCTCCCGCTGGCTAACAAAGGAAAATTTTGCAATATTGCCTTTCAGCAACAGGTTGAAATAGCTGGGAAGGGAGGAGGAGGACGGCAGCGTGTGAATTACCAAAAGGAACTGGTTCTTGTGCAGGATTGTGCCTCTGCTCACAGTGTGTGTCACAGCACAGGCTCCATGGTCTTCTTGGAATGTGTGTCTTGGCTCAGGCTCTGTGGAGCCTCATTGTACTCATGGGCACTGGTGACATTTTTATAGAAGATCGTATAAGAAATATGACAGAGTTTTGCAAACATGAACTGCAATGCAGGTCATCAGAACAAGATGCCAGCTACTCTGCTTGATGTGATACACAGATCATATGAGGAAAAAAAAAAAAAGACCATTAGCAAACCACACACTCCAACCATTTAACACAACATCTCAATCATGAATGAAGAATTTTACACTTCCAAGCAAAATCTTCATTTTTTGTGGAGTTACCAGCATTTCTGTACTGGTCGTGTTCCTGTTTTATCCCTTTCTCTTAAATAAGAGCTGAGATTTTAAAGTAGCAGAACACAGCTGTGCACCAGTCTGTTTAGAGTCCTGCTTCAACTGGATGTAAATGAAATGTGCTTTATCTGATTGTTCAGCACTGCCAAGCTTCCTTCCAACGCCAGAGCCCCTGGTGCCGTTTGTGAGTAACCATTATAGCAGCATGGAGTTTCTTCTCTGAAAGACTCTTGTCTCCGGTTTCCCACTTATAAGATCAGTAAGTAAAACTGAGTAAATCTGGGGTTAAAATTCATGCCAGTAGCAAAACTAACATCAATTTCAAAATATTTTGAGTCATTCGCATCACTTTCCTTTGGAGAGCTAATTTATTTTACACTAGATGTGTATTCTCAGTTTCCAGTACCTTATTCAGTGGCCTCAGTGTCAATGCAAAATGCTAAAACTCTTTAACATTATGTAGTATTTATTTAGTTTAGTATTTATTTTGCTCCCTGAAATTCTGAGGTCAGTGTTGTTTCTCTTTCAACCATCATCAGAGCAATAAACTTCCTTGCTTTTGATCTGCACATCTATCGTTTGAGAATCCCAGGTCGTGTGGGGAAAAAGTAAAACAAAAACACAGATAGGGAAACATTTGTTACTTATAGCGTAAGTTGTCAATGTCTGTTACAGATGTTTAGTATCATGACTAATTCAACAAGAACTGGATGGCTACGTTCTGAGCAGCTTCTCTGAACACGGGGTTACTTTGACTTCCTTAGCACATTTTTCTCTGGCAAAGATATTCGAAGAATGAGTTTTCACCAAAAACGGGGCAAACACTCCAGAAGCTTTTCAATGTCACTGAAAGCAAACTTGCTTTTTTAACTTGACAACACTTTACATTCTTAATGCTAACTGTGAGGCTCTAATTTTCTGATTTTGCACCCTTACACTGAAGGATGGAACTGGAAAGCCTGCAGGGACCATCTGAGCTTAGCCAGATTTTTTTACATGTAGATAGCATCAGAAACAAAATAATTGAATACTGCTACTTGAACAATCAACCTTTTATTACAGAACTACCAAGAGAGAAGAAGGTGGCCCATTTTCTGTATTTCAGATTAACCTTTCAATGGAAGGACTGGGGAGGCTTTTAAATACCAGTCAAGATTATAACCTTTGTTTGTCAGCTGCTATAATGAAGTAAACTGTGATTGGAAAAAAAGTGTGTCATTTGATGAAACTTTTAAATGTAAACATTTTAGTAAAAAAATAGCTGATACAAATATCAGGTTTCAAAATAAAAAACCTCTTGCTATCTAATGAACACATTCTTCCATTTAAGCCGGGTTCATTCTCAAATTCTAAATTATCAACATTTTTGAGATTTCTGCTCCCTAGAAGTACCTTCTTAGCAGCAACGTGGCCAATTGAAAGTGCTAATTAAAGTAGACTCACAGGCCCAAGGAGTGGACCCGACTGGAATTTCCTGAACCGGTTTTCTGCTTTTGAAATACAGCTTCCTTTTCCCCCCTCCCAAATCCCAGAATTTTCAAATGTTAAAGCTATTCCGACTTTGGTGGTTTTTTTAGGCAAGTAAGCAAGTAAACATATAAAAGGAAAGGTCATTGAGATTTTTCACTTGTCATCAGCAGCTATCAAACAACAACAAAAACATGCTGTTTTTGAACCACCCAGGAGTGATTTAAGAAAGCTCAGGGAACTTACTCTGAAGAGGGCAAGAAAGGAATTATACTGGGTTCCAAAGTACAGCTGTACTTTGGAACCTAGGTCACACGTAAGGTTAGATTCATGTCAGATGTCCAGGACAAATATTCTCACCCTTGACATCCCACTGTGCTTATCTGAGAATGAGATATTTTTCCTTTTAAACCAAGAAATGTTTGGGATTTTTCCTAGCAGCTTTTTGGAATCAGCAGAACATAGGCTTTGAATTACAGGCATATTTAAGTAAATAATTCATACCATATATATTACTCTTTGGTTTCTTATGACCATATGGTCAAAGATGATTTATGCTAAACCAAACCAGAAATACTTGATTTCTACTTTGGTAGTGACACATGGTATATATATGCATGCCTAATGATCAATCAGGGAAAATGACTTTTTGTATGAACTGGTATTTTGCAGAGTAAGGATGGTTTTCATGATTGAGATACTTGGATGTCCTAATGTTCCTGCAACAGAGAGAACAGATGAGATACCAGTGTTTTCAAAACGGCTATTCTGCAAGAGAACAGATGAGATACCCATGTTTTCAAAATGGCTATTCTGCAAATCTGTAGAGGATCTGTGTTTGTACGTGGGTTACTGAACATAGACTTTGTTTGGTTTTGCAGCTTGGGCACCCCAAAATTGACAAATGTAAAATCAATATGAATTGCAACTGCAGTCCAAATAATGACAGTGCATGGGATTTGATCATCAGATACATGAGTTACTACCCTACTGCTGGAAAATGCACAATTTAACTGTTTATGTTCTGCACTCCTTTTCTTGCAAATATTTCTCTTTACATGAAGATTACTTGAATTATGTGGACAAAGATCTGGCTATAGACACACAGACATTTTACCTGCGAGAAAGTTGTCTTAGAAAATACGTACTGCCATACAGAGAATTAACTCCATGTGTGAACGGTAATAGACCGACTTTAAGTTTTTATTTTTCAAGTTTTGAAACCCATTATCGTGACACTAATAAACTTTTGGTGTTGGAGACTGTGCTAAGAAACGAAACCAGAAAGTACATAAGCTATGTATTTTCTGTGCATTAGACTTTCACCAGCAATTTTATCTCTTCTGAGGGTCTAAAAATCCCTCCCAGCCCTAAAACACAGCCCTGTGTTAGACACTGTGCTGAAGAAATACTGTTAACTTCCTCCCTAGCCAGTCTGCACTCAGAACACTGTATGCTGTACACGTATGCTTGAAGTCAGGGCAGAGAGCACATCTACTCAAGAGTTTGTAATGAGAAGTGTGAAGGCTATGTACAAATCTCAATGGGGGTTGTGGTTTCCATACTTAGGGGTCAGGGGCCTCCAATCTGTAAGCACCTGCAAGAGAATGCCCATATTGTATGTCACAGGCTGCTTTCAGCTGCCTTTCCCTGCAGTGAGCCTGCAAACACAGCTCTGAGTGCAGCTGATGACCTGCCCTTCTCCCACCTTCAAGTTGCAAGTCACCTGAACGCTCTGGAGTGTTCAGTGTCATGTTATGTGAGGAAGGCACTTACTCTGCCTCTGAGCACGTCAAGATGGGCTGTCCCTACAGAACACGCTCATAAATACTTTCACTGGGGTCACCAGTCCTCCATAGGCCTTTAAATATTACTATGATGCAAACACATACTAGTGATTGCAGTAGTTGAGAATATAACCATTTCCACTGAAGGCATGTATATTTGCTACTCCTTAAGGATAGTGCTTGCCTAAGTGTTTATCTAAATCACAGCAGATAATGTTTATACAGCCCTGTGCAAAAGAGCTGGAGGCAAAGACAACCTTCAGCAACTGTCAATGCCATATCTGGTTTTAGATAATTAACAAAAGAATGAACAATTCCACCATGGT